CGAGCTAAGCCTGGTAACATCCCCCGGTCGGCGAACACACCTACACGAAAGATAAATCGCTCTCCCAAAAACCCCATTTTATTTCCCGACCGTAACAATATTCTTTCACCAAGATACATTGTTACTGTGATAATAATGCCAGCAATAGCAAGTAGTAGTAGATCTTGTATATCAAACCATATTCTTCAGGCATATTGTTAACGGAAAAAACCACATTCTGTTGTTTCCCTTTCAAATCTAAACTGATGCCATGTGGAGGTACTGCTTGGTGATCTTGAAATTTCTCAAAAATCAATAGATTTAAATGTGAAGCCAACATCAAAAGAGGTCCAAACATTTCAGTGGGATGAACAAACTGAAGATAAACATGTGGAAGAGTATCTTGTATTTCTTAATCGTGAAGAAAAAACGTCCCAACAGATATTACTCCCCTAACCTGAAAACAATGTGAGAAACACCTTGGACAATGAGCCATTGACAATGGTAAAAATCCTTAATCATAGCTGAAAAAGAAGATAAGTCTTTATCGCAGGAGTATCAGGATAGAATGATGTCTGATGCTATGACAGTTCAGACTGGGTTTCCTTGAATTCCTTGAATGTTCATTTCAATAATCATATAGACTGGGATTCTGTATCTGCTTTTAAATCATTTTAAGCAAGTATATACTGTCAATATACATATCACAATATAAATAATTGTTGATTATCCTCTACTAATTTTTTGACTGCAAATAGATGATTACATTATTTGCTCACTAATTACCTTGCTTGAGTTTTTCAACCAAATTAATGATATTTAGAGCAGGTCCAAGAGCAATTCCAATACTCATAAGGTCATCTTCTGTCAAATCAAGAAAGTTTTGACCAGAGACCTTTTACTCTGTGATCTTATCAATATCTTCTAGATGTTCCTTCATATTATCCAAGAATTTTGTAATGTCTTTTCATTTCCAATTCTTGATTTCTTCTGTGCTTGGCATAGCAACTTCAGTGGTTTTAATTCCTTAATGGAAACTACTGTTTTTGCCAAAGATAATGAGTATGAGCAGTTTCTCTATAAACAATACTTGCAATACAATAATTACCAGTAGACTGTTACCTTAGCAAGGGAGTTTCCTCAGATGTACCAATATCTGGCAGTTGAACATGTTCTCCTTTCTTAGATACTAATACATCAGCTGGTGGTTTATTGGATCCATTTTTCCCCCATTGTTTAGGAAAGTAAATGAAATGTTGTGTGTGTCAAAAAGATCCATCTGAAACACCAGGCATCACACATGATGCAAATCCTATTTAATAGAGTAGAAAAAGTTCCATGCTAGCATCATGATAATGATCTGATTATTTGATAATACCCTACTATCCCATACATCTGGAAACTTCAGAAAAAAATAAATTCTGCTCTTGTTGGCATCTAAGGTTGATATATACACCTGCTGTGCTTCTGAACCTTCTATTTACTATTACACCTATAACAAATTTACTCACTTGGGTAACCACTCAGCGTTCCGAACTGACCGCGTCCGTGCTGCTCGTTCCGTGGGACATCTGCGAGGAGACCAACCTGTGAAAGAAAGGGGGTGGAGTGTTTATGAGGAAGGGAGAGAATGCGTTTGTGTATAGAAAGAGCGAAGAATAGTGTGTGTGTATGAAGGGGAAAGAGAGGAGTAGAGCGTGTGTATATGGAGAGGAGAAAAAGCGCGAAAACTGTTTGGCTTTACACGCGTTTATAAATTTGGTTTGCTGCGGCGCGCCTCGTACTGGAGGTATTTGAGCTAAATCGCCGACGATAATAATATTAATACTATCGATTGCTTAGGTCGTTGTTGTGAATGGACACGAAGAGGTTGGATATGAATGTGAAGAGTGATGCAGATACCATTAAAACTTCATCAATAATTAATGTATTGATTTTAGCAAGCTGTTGTTTAATAACCTGCTTCAGATTGGTGAATTCGTAAAGCAAAGTGGATTGTCATGCCACTCATATTTTGTGCTGCGACACCTGTAGTGCTGGTTGGGGTGACCTGTCATGTTTCTTCTCAGTTTCTTTATAAAGAGGTTTTGTGATCATAGTGCTGTGTACTTGCTTATAGACACAAGTTTGCTTGAGATATGAAATTTCAACAAGCTAATACTATGTCTGTGGTATTATCCACAAAGTAGTACTAATAGTATTCTTTATATAACACCATTGACTTTGAACTCCTTTCCTTTTTTTTTCATAGAGGCTCATGATTCTAGTCATACAAAACAAGCATGAGTATGAGAATGAAACATCAAATTTCCAAGAGTGTAGGTTCATATTTTCTTTTTATTTTGAGTTCTAATAGTAAATCAAGATGAAAAAAGTAAGTTAGTGGTGATAAATTTAATTTGTATGTTGGAGATGCATGCACCAAGTGAGAATAATGAGGTGGTGGGCAGACTGTAACAAAGCATTAATAGAAAGGCATTATTTAAAGCTGTCACCAATGCCCAAGTCAAAGTATTTGCCAGAACAGCTGCCAACAGCACGTTCTCCAACTTGGCCACTTGTACCTGATGTGCCACCACTTGATTTTGCCAGAACTCTGTCTTTCTCCTTGGTGGCCTTGTCCAGCTTGCTTTCCACCTCCTTCAGGCTCTCCCACAACCCTTTTAATAGTTAATGCATGCAGGAGGGCAATGCAAAATCTGAGACTATTCTGTTAGCAGGGCACTAAAGTTTCCCTTGTATGCTTTGAACTACAACTTGCTGCTACAACAACTACCAGGAGTTTACATAAATACCAACTGTCTTGGCTGTCAGTAATATATAACAGTTACATTACCATGTGAGCTTCCCATTGCAGTACCTTACGAGAACAAGTTTCATGAAGAAATGTGCTTCTGACTAACCTCTTTCATTATTACCTTCGCAATATGATAGTGTATTGAGAAATTGGGACGTAATGGTATATTAATATACTGTATATAATAAGTATATGATAATGATCTCGAACGCGAAAAATCAATTTTCGTCGTCAATCAGCACCAAGACAACAACCGAGTAACCGTTGCAACGTGTGCGCAATGAATTGACCCATAATATTATGTACGATTTGAATTTGGATATACCGCTTGGCTTGATTATTCGAAGACGCGAAATCAATTTTCGTCGTCAATCAGCATTAAGACAACAACCGAGAATCCAATTTAAATTTCTTTATTATTAAGCAATAAAGCAATAAATGTTAATTAAGCAGGTCTACAATATTTGTTGACGGTGCTATTTGTCATTGCTATTTTCATCTTCATACGTTTTCTTCACTAAACTGAATAGATAGCTTGTTCTTCAGTTGTAATAGCTAGTTACATCACATTCAGATTAAATCTGTTTGTGTTTCATGAATGTGTAAATTTGGAGAAAACAGAGGACGAGCACTAAAATAAAAGCATAATAGCTCCAATCCTGTAATTGACATAATTTTAGGTTAATCAAAAAACAAAATTATTCATGTGGGAAAATGTGACTCACTTGAGGATCAGTAACTTTTTGTTCTAAAGTGTCATGGTTTTTCTCCAAAGTGTCATGGTTTTTCTCCAAAGTGTCATGTTTTTTCTCCAGGAAAGCCCATTTTTCATTGACGAGATCCAGTTTAGCTGCAAATATTTTATGCATTATAGCAATGCTCGCGAAACCCAAATCCATTCTTTCTCTTAATGTTTCGTTCATCATTGTTATTTCCTAAAAAATCAAGACATTCGGTTATTATGTGAAACAGGTGGCATCATCTAAGGTTACTGTACACACGCTTCTTATCTGGATAACGTAAATTATCGTAACTATAGCGCCAATAAGAGTTACAATAAATGTAATGACATTAACAACATTGGAAGTGAACTCTAAAGATATACAAATTTGTTAATATGCTGACTAGCGAAGAAACGGTGCAGTAACACTTTCTTACCATAAGTTTTTTTTGCAAATTCCTGCATTCCTGCCTGCTGTTGTAGATTATTGCGTGTTTGGTTATCTTCTTGTTGTCCCTCCATTTGAATAACTTTTTGGCTCTCAATCAGTTGATAGAGACTGAGAGAAAAGAATGATTGAAGTTTAAAAAAAGTAGGCATTTTATAATTAAAATTTTTTGTCGGATCTTAAAAATAAATATCGAATCAAACCTTTTGATTTCAGTATTTATATGTAAAACCGAAATACGTCATTGACAAACCGCAGTATACGTCATGAAAAAGTGAGGTATGGTTTTTTCCAGGATTTCGAGGACCTTATTAGCATCACGGAAGGTGGACAACATAAAATTTCAGCGGGGCTTTTACCAAGGTCAATGTCGTTTATTTATTTCTGACACAAACCCACTATAACCCTAAAATCCTCTTCACGTTCTTGTGAGTCCTTGACTGTTAGTGAGATTCGATATTCAGTCCTGCGCATTAGAGTCATGTGCATAGATAGACATCATGTATCATCTTTACGAATGTGTTCAGAAATATTTATTAATACATACAAGAGCCAGATAGTGTCAGATGCAGTTGAAATAAACCTCAAATACATGAGGGATTTAATTCTACATTTGATGAATCTGTCAGAGAGCCTTCAAAACCCTTCAAAAAACGGAAATTGTCTATGCGCAAAGAAGGCCTATTAGATGAATTTATAGATACAGTCAAACCTCAAAAACCGATACTGCAAAAAACCATAACTCCCAAAACCGATACTTTTTTCAATTCCTGTGCAATTTATACGTGATAAATTCCTCGTAAAACCGATAATACACATGATATAGATCTCGCGAACCCGATATCATAATGCCGATTTTATAAGGTAGTACAAATAAAACAATACGTGTATCGTAATTGGCCAATCACATCGGTTTTTCCGAGGTTTGACTGTAACGACAATATTCAAGTGATCGGATTATGATGGATTGGCATTCCTATGTTACAGTCGGATGGTCTGGGTTTGGGAGAGCGATTAATCTTTCGCGTAGGGGTGTTCTTCCGATCGGAGGTTATTGCCAGATTGCTTCGTGCCACCGCAGTTAAGAATCTACAATGACCTAAATAATTAAAGTGCGCGCTTCTTCACTCCCTATCCAAGAGCTTCGAATCACTTGTAATTCCAAATAAGGGTACCCACAATATAAATAAAATAACAACAACAATTATTCTACTGCGGGAATAAATTCTATTTAATATTAAACAGGGCTATCTTCGATTTGGTATTTTGACTAGTCAAATTCTGTCACCTGTCTGTCTCAAAACAATATTTGTTTAAATAACAATTAATAACTCTCGTTCCTCAATTAAGAGTACTAGATCGACAGATAATTTATACAGCTTAAGTGAGCCGTTTATTAATATCCGGTTAGATAATTAAATTAATATTGCAACGATGAAAGAAGTAAAATTTCGATTTCAAAGGGAATCGTTTATCTGACATTTTATTTCGTGGAATAGGAAATAATATGAACAAATCTAAACAACATTAACCACGTTAACAATATGAGAATTCGACGATGGGATAAGGGCTGCTTATATACAGTAAATACAGTAAGAAGGAAATCTCGACAATTTCAATAAATTGATTACAAGAGAAAAAAAATCAGCTTCTTCGTTCGAATAATTTAAATAACAGTCCACCATCATAGTATCAGTATGGATAAGAACTAATTAGTTGACAGATCCTAACCCTTTGCGGATTGA